ATTTTTATAACCTCATTTTATAATCAACAAGACCAAAGACAATGAAAAGCAGTGAGGGATTAGGCACAGAGGTAAACAACACAATCGGAAAGATGGATGGGGAAACAAAGGAGATAAAAGGCATTCCTTTACCCTTCTGGGTCTGTCCCTCATCCAGGTCCTCCTCCATGTTGCCTTTGATTTCGGGGGTTTCTACAGCAGTGACCAGTGTTGCGCCTGTGAGTTTAAAGTCCGCTCCTTAAACGCCTTCACTTGCCTGCTTACCACAATAGAGGCTGAGGTTGGCTCTCAGTGCACAAGTCCCTCTCTCTCTCTCTCTCTCTCTCTCTCTCTCCCTCCTCCCTCTCACGCTCCTGCTACTACCCTGTTCCTCACAGAGGAGAGCTGCTGTCAACACTGATTTTTTTCAGTTGACTTCTCTTGTGTGTGGAGGTTCAGTGTGGCATCTCAGCGGTGTCTGGTGCAAACCAGTGAGTGTTGAGACATTCAGAGCTCTATTTATTCTATTTATGTGTTTATATACGAGGTAACACAAGCGCAAGTGTGGGATACAAAAATAACAAATCACCAACCACCCAAAACATGGATCAGCACACTATAGGCGGGGTTTTGGGGGATCAAGCTGCAAGTAAAAGCCTCCACTTTACACCCCTCCTCTAAATGAATGCTTACATCACTTCTGTATTAAACTCAAGATAAAAACAAGAAATATTCAATTCATATTCTGTCGGACTATATAAATGTATAACACATTACATACATGCATACATGTGCACGCACACACACAGATTTGCTGCTTCTTTGCACAACATGGATGAAATATAACTGCTTGTGATGAATATGACATCATACATATGCATAAAAATGCAAGAATTTGTGTTTTGTCAAATTTTACACGTATTTGTTAGAACATGCAAATTAGCATAGACATGTCATTAAAATTGAATTAAAATGTGTATTCCCTTCTCTACAGAACAAGAAATTGCAATTAATCAGCTGTTGGTGGTTATGTGACAAAAAGTGAATTTATAAAATATAAATCAAATGCTTTTAAATCATTTCTAATACAGAAATACCAGGCAATCATTATGGATTTTTATCTGCAATCTAGAAATGACTCTATTTGGGTTGCAATGAGTACTTGAGTTTTTACTGGCCCCATTACTTTAAATACTGGCTTATGATCTGCTGACACTTTGAAAGATACATCAACATGTCCTGGCCAAAACGCTGACAGATTTACTTTATACATGCAGGCAGTTTTAAGTTCTAAAATTGTGAAGGCCGACTTTCTTATTTAGAATCCAAGAATAGAAGAAATAGTGTGCCACTGGGATCAAGTTGCTACTGAAAGTGTCTTACACACAGGACACATTCTGTGTGAATAGCCCCCAACTCTACCCCCATGCATGTCTTCTGACAATAACAATTTTGCCGGATGTGTTGATACTGCTACGCCATGTTTAACATTCTTGCCCTGAGAGCCCACATATATAGTGATCTATTTCAAAAATAGCATCACTGCACAGTCACAAAACACCAAATGTAGACTTTAATATTTGACACTAAATATAATAGGATGGCCTTCTGTGCTTTATTATCACACAAGGCATTTAAGACCATTTTTTTCAACCCTGTTCCTGGAGGCAAATTAACAGTACACATTTTCATCTCTCTAATCAAACACATCTGATTCAAATCATCAGCTCAATGGATGATACTCCAAGACATCACATGGATGGATCAGATAAGGGAATTAATGCCTTTAGGCATTAATTGTTAAAAAAGGATGTTAAAAATTACTTGTAAATGAATATTAGTATATTTTCAGACAATTTAATTATGTAATGATATCATTATATACAGTATATATATATATATATATATATATATATATATATATATATATATATATATATATATATATATATATATAGCGCTTAGCATAAGTGAACACACTTAAAATATCCCCACATCATCATCACACACCCTTGACCATACCCATTGGCATGGGGTACTCATCTTACAATACAAAACAAACCAGCTATTAGGCTAACTGAAATAAAACCATGTCAATCTCTCTAGGAATGGTGAAGGGTGTGTGATGATGATGTGGGGATACTGTATTTCCAAAGGCCAAGGGAACTTTAATCAGGATGCATATTATCCTGGATCCATGAAATAACTGGCCTTTAAAAATAAAAATCTGCCCAACTCAATCTGACTTATGCCCCCTGTATTTTAAAAACATGTATTTATTTACAGTACATAATTCATTCACAAAGAAAATTGGTGTCCTTAAAGGTTGGATTTTTTCTCTTTTTAATTAAGGCATTACAATCAATCTTTAATATCTAATATAATGATAGCAAATAAAATATCTAGTATACAGTGACGCTATATATTAGATATTTTATAATTATTACATATACACTTCGGTTCAAAAAATTAAGATTTATTTGATACAGCAAAAACAGTAATATTATGAACTATTTTTACAATTTGAAACATCTGTTTTATATTTATAAATGTAATTTATTCCTGAGATGTCAAAGCTGAATTTTCAGCATCATTACTTTCAGTCTTGCAGTGTCACATGATCATTAAAAATCCCTAGTACTGATTTGATATTCACTATTCACTATTAATATCAAAGTAAAAAAAAAAAAAATCTGCTCTTCTTAAAATACAGAATATTATTAAATTATACATAAGTGATATACATAATTTATACTATTTAATAAAATCTAGAATTTAAGTATAGCAAATGAAATGTATTGATATGGCGTTATCAGTAATTAACAGAAGAAGAAAAAAATGTTCTCCAATGTGATTGCCACATGTCATCGAGTCTATGCCGGCACAAATACAGCCACACCCTGGTCCCTGATGAAGCTGCTTTTCTGGGAAGGTGGTAGGAGAGAGACGTTGGCTCTCGTCACCCTCGCCAAGTGTGTGTTGTCCGTATGTGCATGTGTTAATTTGTGATGCTAAGGCAATGAGTATGGGGTGGGTTTTAGCGGGGAAAACCAAAACTTAATGAGCGATACTTTAACACCCAATCCCTTTCTGGCTAATCATGTTCATGTCTGGATTAAACACATGAATCCAACCCCCCTCTTCTAACTGTCAAATGCATGCTTCCTCCCTATTTTGCACTGCAGGCCCAGATGAAAAAAATACACAACAGATGGCTAAGATGGCCTCTACAAGGGCATCTAGCCGTCTACATGCAGTTAGTTGGCACTGGAAAGCCTCACACAAAATGTGTTCCAGTGTGCGTTTATTCTGAAATGCTTGCAGTGAGTGAGCGCCACCATCTCTCGCACGATTGTAGCTCTAGCTGACTTGTTACCATAGAAACCTACTTTAGATATCGCCTGTTCAAGAGGCAGTGCATACACACATACATGTATGCACAGAGCAGAGCACAGAACATCATGTTTTATACGCAAGTTAATGCAAAATAAACTTTGACATGGCTCTCGTTTGCTTACCATCAGGGTCTAGTATCACCCTGAAGGGGTTAGGTGTATGATAACGCCTGGATTAATATACACAGCAAAATAAATAGACATATAGTGCAAACTATTACAATATCTTACTTGCAGATTATCATAAGGATTTAGCTACAAATCCATACCAAAAAAAAAAAAAAAAAAACAGATATAGTTTTATAATCTAATCCAAGATATAGTACCATTCAAAGGTTTGGGGTCATACAGATTTTATTTTTACTTAAATACAATTTAAAGATATAATACTTTTATTTGGCAAGGATGCCTTCAATTGATCAAAAGTGACAGTAAAGACTTACATTGTTACAAAAAAAAAAAAATCTCAATAAATGCTGTTCTTTTGAACTGAAAAAAATGAATCAATGTTTCCACAAATATATTAAGCAACTGTTAGTAATTAATAATAAGAATATTAAGAATAATTAATAATAAGAAATGTTTCTTGAGCAGAATATCAGCATAATAGAATGATTTCTGAAGGATCATGTGACACTGAAGATTGGCGCTGAAAATTCATCTTTGACATAAGGAATAAATAGAATTTTTAAATATTTCTATGCTTTGGTGAGACTTCTTTCTAAAACATCTATTTTAAGTTTAACTGGAGACTCGTAACCTTACAGCCTCTGTTTAACTAACTGTAAAATTGATACAGATGTTCTCAGAGGTCATTTTTAAAACAATAAGTAGCCAGAGTGGTGCTGGACAATGTATTTGTTAGCCAAAACCCACAAATAAATTCTTATTTTAGCACTTCCGGTTTCATTGACCTGAAGTCAATGGGTTTTGAATGGGTTTTTAGTTAAATGCTTGAAAAAAGGTGTGTGGTGAACAAGCTCAAGATATTTTTTCAATATTTTCAAAATGTCTTGTTTTATCATTGTCTAAATGGGACTAGAGGTTGTCGGGAACATTAAATGTCTTCAGCTGAACAGGTAAACTCATCTACACACAAGTCCGCTTTCACAGCCTCGTTGTGCTTATAATTGCGCTCCTGCAAACTGTTGTAACCTGAACTTTAAGGAAAATTGTTTGTTTAACAAAGACTGAAAGAGTTGTCAGAAGCTTAGTGTTGGTGACATTAAAATCATCCGAAAGTGGTGTAGTTCTCCACTCTATTGCGTCACATGATGGCATATGGACATGATGGATTAACATATAGATGTAATGCATGTATGCAAATGCCGTTTGGTTACTTATTTTCCTAAAGGAATATTTCAACCAGATTTAAACATTCTGTCGTCATTTATTCACCCTCATGTTGTTCCAGCCCGGACTTTATTTCTTCTGTGGAACATAAAATATATTTTAACATTGGTTTAGAATGACATGAGAGTGTGAAAATGACAACACAAATGTTAGGTCACTAAAACAAATCATTTAATAAACTTTTTCTTATTTTTCCTACTTATTGTTGGCCATCAAGGGAGAGCGGAGACTGATTTCAATAACATTAAATGACTGCATTCAGTGGTCATACCATTCACACCTCATGACATTTTATTCCACACAAAGCCTATTATTTGGTTTTTAAATGCCCATACCAGACATAAAACAACATAGGGAGGAGGGTGAGAAAAACAGAGCGAGCGTGAGAGAGATGAGGTGGTTTAAAAAGTTCATTTCTGGGCACATTCATGAAAAGCAGTATGCTCGCTTCAGATATCCATGGCAACCTTATGCTATGAATTGAGTCTAAAAGATGCATGGTAAAACGACAGATACACTCTTTTTGTTTGACAGCAGTAGCGACTGAGTGAGAGTGAAAGAGACTGTGTGACACTATGTGTTTGTGTGTGTACAAGGGGGAGAGAAACAGAGGGGGTAAACAGGCACCCGGGCAACTTGCCCAAAATCTGTCTGTCTCACGGTGGGTTTGCTAAATGAAGGTCTAATTTGCAGAGGCCTTGGGTGAAGCGGGGAAGAGAACATACTGCGACTTTAAATGAAAACCGAACCCTCTCAATACAGAGATAACAGAGATGCAGCAACAGGCCTGAGAGCTGCTGGGGTTAATCAATAAATGCTGATTTTATGCTTTTCCAAAGAGACAATCAAACCTCATGCTTGTTTAATTGCCATTTTATGACACAAGCTCCAGACAGCGTGCTCAAATCATGTTATAAACCTATACATTCTTATATGGAACACCAAAGAAGATTTCGAGGAAAATGGCCAGACTGCTCTTATAGAGCAAGAGAATTTCCAACTCTTCAAATCACCAAAGACAAAAACCATAAATGGACAAAAAAAGTTCATACCACTTATGTGCTATATTATTGTATTATTGTTGCTCACTGTTATTACTCATGGAGAATAAACATAGAAACATCACATAACTGGGAAGAGGGAAAAAAATGTTCATAAACTTTGTTGGTTCAAATATCATGATATATTGGGTCTGAATTAGCAAAAGCATGAATAAGATGGATGAAAGCAGACTGAGTGAATAATTTCAATTCCACTTAGTTTCTTTTAATTTGGCTTTACACAACAATATGAAAGACTTGTATGGTCCTTTCTGGAGCAGCTGCGGTTACCAATTTCAGATAATCTGATAATATATATAGAAAGAAAAAATATATATTTATGAATCAATAAAATAAAATAAAAAGTTTTGGTTGAACTATTCCTTTAACAAATTAATTAAAATCAGTTCTTCTGAAAAATATGAAAAGTTTGAAGCACTGAATATTTATGAATATGAATTTGTTGACCTGTATGGTGAAGCTATCCCAATGTAGAAAATTCAAATTTAATGCCAAACTGTACAAGCCTTTAGAACCTTTTATGTGTTCTGTTCTAGCATTGACAACAAAAGCAGCATGCATACTGATGTGTATGCTTCTTAGACTTTCTTTTATTGTGGGAATGAATCTTGTGCTCAGATATGTAGGGACTCATTTTCAATGTACTTTGAAGACCTTCATTGGACATCTACCTTAAACAGTCTCATTATTTGCCTCCAATATCCGCAAAGCATTTTTTTCTGAAACCTGCACAAAAACACAAACATTCCCTTATTACAATACAGATAAATAAAAAAAAAAAAAAAAAAAAAAAAACACTGATCTCATTATCTATGCACTATTATACTATTTATTAATCAGCTTTTATCTTTTCGTTGTGTGCTTTAATCATGTTTATTATTTATTTCTATTTATTTGTCTATATATATATATATATATATATATATATATATATATATACTGTATATATATATAGAAATATAAATAGAAATAAATATATATATGAGACCCTGGATCACAAAACCAGTCACAAGTAGCACGGGTATATTTGTAGCAATTAGCCAACAATATACATTGTACGGGTCAAAATGATAATTTTTTCCTTTATGCCAAAAATCATTAGGATATTAGGTAAATATCATGTTCCATGAAGATATTTAGTAAATTTTTCTACCACAAATACTATAATATAGAACATTTATTTTTGTGAGTGAATGAAGCACAATGGCGAACATACATGACTAAAGTTGTAAACTTTAAAGGAAATTTTCTCAATGTTTCGATTTTTTGGCATCCCCAGATTCCAGATTTTCAAATAGTTTTATCTCTGCCAAATATTGTCCTGTCCTAACAAAGTTTATTTATTCAGCTTTCAGATGATGTCTAAATTTTAACTAAAAAAAAAAAAAAAAATTACCCATGTGATGGTTTTTGTGTTCCAGGGTCACAAATATTTCTTGCTTTAATTTATTTTTAATGTTTTAGTAATTTTAGCAATTTGACAAACATTTTATTTCAGTAGTAACATTTGTAATTAATTTTTTTTTCATCTAATATTAATAGTTTATTTCAGCTAATGAAAACAAATTGTGATAGTTTTAGTTAACAAGAGCAACACTGTTGGGCGGTAGTGTTGTTACCACCAGTAATCAATTATTTGTAGATTAGTCTAATGAATTCTTCACCATTTAGGTTGATCACATCCTGAGCAAATGGTAGTCAATTGTAGAATAGGAATGGGTGTGGGACACAGAGAACTTTCTCAGTGTCTCAACGTCATTAACAAACAGAACACAGCTGTTACAACAAGAGCAACTTCATTTACATTAAGAGTGGTAAACTGTAACAGGATAAAAGGTTTAAGATTTGGATGTTCTGTATTCATTCTAAAGCCAGTGAAACCAAAGTGCTTTGTATACCTTGCCACTGCTATGCTGTGATAAACTTCATTTTTGATATCTTCGACATCCACATCATTATTTCTTACACTCTCTACAACATCAAACACTCTCTACAACATCAAATATTTCAGCAATCATTCCTGTATTTTGAAACTGACAGTTTTAAATAATAACTAGTGCAAATGAATGACTCTTTTGAGTCCTTTCATTTCAGTTAATCAAACAGGTAAGCAAAATGATCAGGAATATTTTCCCATATACAGTAGTTTGTAGCATAACTAGCTACTTTCTCTAAAGGGTAGAACTCAGATCATCTTAGTTAATTTGTAGTAGTTAGTAGCTTTGCTCCAGCCCTAAGTTCTATTAAAATGACAAATCTGCATTTTCATTCATACGTGGTTGGTTACTTCTTCCGGTGAGATTCTGAAGTGCGCACCGATCGGCACTTTACTATCAAAGTATTAATGAATGACAGTGAAGTGACACACCTGACGCTGGGAGATCACATGATAATGACAACATGGTGCATGTAGTATGTCCGGATTACATTCATACTACACACATTCATACTATTTAGGACATAGCCTACATTTTTAGGGATTGTGGAGTAAAAACTTCAAAATCAGTACCTACTCAAGATAGTATGCAATTTTGGACGCAGCAAATGGTTCCTCAAATCTTGCCCTGGAGGGTCAACCCTGATCAAATACACCCGAACAAACTAATCGAGGTCTTCAGGATCACTAGGAAAAATCAAAGGCTGAGTCCAAAATCATCTCCCTACCCCTAAATAGGGAAGAAGTCTGTAGCGCAGCTCGCTTCAGTGCGGGCTCTGACAAAGTGCGAATCGAGGGTACATATCGGATGCAAAGGCGGTCTGAAGGCAACACTTCTGAAACCTAAAATTACAAATGGGACACCCTAGAGTCTCAAGGACTTAACAGACATGCGCGAAGCACATTGTCCACAAGAACGTAAGTGCATAAGTGTGCCATTTGGGACAGGGCCATACACTCAACGGCTAGAGAATACCCATAATGCACTGTAAAGGTCGTGCTGAATGAATTCCCGTGTCTGACCTGAAGATGGCGCCCACAGCTTAATCATCCATCCATCCATTTTCCAATGTGACTACAGTGTGATATCATATGTATATATATATACTTTTACTTGATTATTAAATTGCTTGATTAAGGTTTATACATGATAGTTTCCATGAAAGAGTTCAAGATAAATCTTTTCATCTTTCAACTGGAGCTGCCAGTTTGCCTAGTTTCAAATGATTATTGGTTTTTCATTCGCTTTTTTCATTCATTCCTTCAAGTGGACTATATTAGTGGAGTAATGTAGGGAATAGTGAATTAGGGTATAGGGGACGATTGTGAACACAGCCACAGGTAGGTGAGCTTTCAGAGTTTGAGCTAAACTCTGTAGGGCAATGGCCCATCAGATTGTTATTTAGATGGTTGGTACCTGACAAGGACTGTACTTAATTTCGTTGTACTTGTTACAATGACAAATAAATATTCTATTCTATCAGGACCGGATTTAAAGAACCCTGATTAAGACTTTTGGCTTACGTATATCTCATCCTTCTGTTGGGAATGCAGGGCCAGGCACTTAACAAGCTGCTTGACTGGTGTTCATCAGCAGGTTTGGCTTGCTCTCGTGGGCTAACAGTGGAGACAATCTGACAGCCTGTTCTCCAAGAGTGGGCTTAATATCGAATCGTTCTATGAAGAAGTACAAAGAAAATTCAATGTACTGAATTTTGTGTGTATACAAATAACACACCCTTTCACATGACACACATATTGAGAAATTATGTTTTAAATAATTAAAAACAGAAATTAGTCAATGAGTGTTACTCACTTGGGTCTTGGGTTCTCTCCTCTTTTCTGTGTTCTATGTGCCTGTGTATGATTGCAAGGACCTTGCACTGGTTGATGATGATGTTTGGTTCAGCTAAAACCTCACTGAGTCTCAAGTTGCTCTTTATGGCCACTGAGGCTGTGGAACGAGCCACCATGGGCAACTGGTCTTGGTAAGCCTTGTCTGTGAAGCCTTCCTCCATCTTCTGTATGGTTTGGATCCTGCAGGAAGCATAAGACAAGCCAAATTAAGACAAGGTGTGACATTAATTAGTCATTAGCTTTTGAAGCATATGTGACTCATTACGAAATCACGACTGCAAGCCAATTCGCACATTTAAATTACACACTTAAAGTATGTATTTTTATCCATCAGAAATGGATTATATCATGAGAAGTTGGCTTACCAGAATTGAGAAAAAACATAATGTGAGTTTTCAACAACAATGGCAAAAATGTTTGGCTAGCATTTGGTTTACATAATCTGATGAGAAAGTAAATAGGAAATCTCACCTTCTGTTGGTAAGCATGCAGTAAATCTCCTGTACAAGAAGCTCTGCGGCTCCAGGTTTACAGTGGATTGTGCCATCTACGATCTCCTTGATCAGACAGATGTTTTGCTTCACAAGAAACTTTAAACAACCAAAGAGGCTAGATCTTTATTAAACTTGAATATTTTAAGGGAAAAAAAGGCCAACACATAATAGACATTGATGATGAATACAATTTCAATGAACAATTATTTTCATGTTAGTTGGTGATCATTTCTTCAGGGTATCAAACTCACTTTCTCAATCTGGGACCAGTTTGATTGTTTTGTAGCCAAGGAAGTTCCATTGTCATAGGAGTGCATATGAAAATCCTCTGGGAAATACCAGGAAAATATTTCCGCCACTAGGTATCCGTTGGAAAAGTCTCTTTGGTCAAAAAAGAGAGCAAGGCACGTGTATACCACATTTCATCCTTAATGGGAATTTTCATAAATATTTTTATATAGATCAGTGGAACTGACATGAGTTAGCCTCACTGATCTATGACGTGCCTCACTGATCTATATAATGACGTTGTCATTCTATATCAGTGGTTAGCCTACACTTGATTATAAATCTAAACTAATAAGCGATATGTCATATTTAAGATTGTATGCAGATACACTGAGATCCAATATTGTTCAAGCTTGTGCGACTGAGACGCTATCATCTTCTCAAACATAACGTACACTCAACTCACCTGCGCACGTTTTTTGGAAAAAACGGTAAATCAAGACTTTGCAGCCATTTCAAAACCTCTCGTGGTATACCAGCCTTCTTAGGCGACTGTGAATAGGCCATTTCGAAGTAAGGTTAACGACGACAGAAATGATTTGTTTGTTTGACGAAGAGAACAACCCACCTACAGTACGGTTTCATTGTTTACAGTTGCATGGAAACAAGGCCGAGTACACGCACTGTTGATGTGCTGCCACCTGCTGGCAGAATAAGTATACTCACTTATTTGAACGGGAATGAACATGAGCGAGGCTGTGAAGGGTAGACTCATAGACTGCTGCGTCTCAATTTGCTACTTATACTACGCCTTGAAAGTATGTACTCTTTTCGTGAAGAAAAAGTACATGCTTTTGAGAGTGTAGCAGAAGAGTAGACAATTTTTGGGGCATAGACTTACAATACGTCATACAATTCCGTCTTCAACACTGATATAATGACACCATTGCGCTGTCGCTTAGTTACACGCATCCTGTCACGGAAAGTGGCTTGTCAATCATCTTTTCAAAGATAAAATCGTCTACATTTCATTTAATTTAATTTGCTACTGTACAACCCCATTTATCTAAACCTCGGTTTGTCGGTCGCACATCCGCCATGTTTTGTAGTTTTCTTTAACACTTCGTGATTGTAGTTCTGAACTTTATCCTCCTCCAAAGCGCAATAGGTTAATTGTGGTCAATTAGCTGTCATTGATAATAAAGTAGGTCATAACAGTGATTTCAGAAGCTTCATATGAAATCATGAGATAAATTAGAACATTTCTGATAGACAGTGGATTGCTAGTGGATTACAGTGGTCTTTCTTCATAGATATTCAGGAAATTGAAAGGAGGAAGTCAAGTGATGTCATCAGTGCTATTTTTATTTCAAAATAAGTGCAACAACTCCAGGGGACCACCACTTGCATTATACATTTTATAATATTTATTCAGCATTTACATAATAAATTTGGTATCAACACCTATAGCTAGATGATCAGACTCCGCTCAGTATGCAGTAAGAAGGCATGCAATGCCGGGACACTCATTGGAATTAGATAATTTAAAGTGGAAAAAGTTAAAGTAAAATAAACAAGATGAGGTACCATTATTTAAGTATTTAAGGACATCAATCTTCTTGTCAAATCAGGCCAAAAAAGATTATTATTAAATGGAAAAAGGTAAAACAGCTTTTATTTAAAACTATTATTAACTAAGGCAAACAATACTTTAAGACTAGATGGCCTGCTGCCAATAAACATAATCAGATCATCTATATTGTAGAAAGTTCTTCATAGCATTAGGGAGGGGTAAATATTGTAGAAGATGTAGTCGGGAACGTCCCAAACTTTCCCTGATTTGCTGACGGCACAGCTGGCGTAGAGAACGGGGTGTCGCTGCAAAAGGAACAAGCTTGTAAGGGCTGATGCAGTAAAACATGCAAAAGTCAAAACCAAACATCAGTGACTATAATGCTGCTGTACATTTAACTCACCTTCATAAATCAATAGGAAGCCCTCTGTAAGGCTCCCTGGAGGAGCAACATCTACGGGCCGTTTATACTCCAGGTTGCGTGCATTTACATCTGCCCCAAATTCCAGCAGGAGCTTCACTATGCTTACACAGTCTTTTTGGGCTGCTGCATGAAGAGGAGTCTCCATATGTGCCCCTTTCTGCACATTTGCACCTGTGATGGTGAAAATGCACTATATTAGTTCAGTATGGGTTATTTTACGAATATTAAGTCTAACTTTATGTGTAAACTAGTAGAGGACAGTATATTGGTTAAAACAGATAGAATAGAACCGATATAGGGCTATAAGTGTTTCATTTCTATCACAGTTATATTAGTTGAACCTTCTGCAATGAATATTCAGCTCTACGCATGGCACAATAAATCATATTAACCCCTTACCTGTTAGTTTTCAAAATTATTTTCAAATTCTTTCATTTTCTTGAAGGCACTACATAGACTTGCACAATGACTTTTAAAAATGCTTTCAGTCTATAAAGCAGGAAGGCCCCTGAGATTGTGTGCTTTGTCTCTTCTAGTTGTTATGCAAAGTAGAACTAAAACATTTAGAGAAGACATTCAGCCATTTTATTCAGAGGAAGCGAGACATGCAGAAAATCTTAATATTTTTAAACATAAACACCTCTAGTTTGGTCATCATTATTTATAATTTTGATTTTAAAAAATTCCATTGGTGATCCTTCTTTGTTTGAAATAAAATTTGATTTATTGATTGAACTCGAGTTGTGAATGTGAGTTTACATTCTGTGATAAGATAAAAATATTCACAACAAATGACTGTTTAGAGCAGATTCTTTTTTATGAACTGTTTTTATTCACATAAACCAGTCTGACACTGAGGTGACACACCATCTAAATCAAATCAACATCTGACTCGCTTACTGAACTCCACTTTAGCATTGTCCATACAAATATACTGACATACTGACTCTCCACTACAGTTGAAAAATGAATTACTTATTGTCAGGTTGTCATAAAACTGCTGTTTGTTTGTCCACACTTGTCTGCACAGGCACAGCTAGGGTGAATTTTTTACATGTTTACCTCCATCAAGCAGCATGCGGGCACATATGAAGTCCTTACACCGACAAGCACTGTAGAGAGGGGTGCCCATGTGAGGGATTTCATAATCCACATCCACACCCCATGCAACCAGCGCCTCCAAACACTTGCTGTGACCTTTTGAAAGAGACCATATAAAAACATGCCATCTTAAAAACTTCAAAAGTCTATTCAGCTAATTAGAGTTCCATAGTCCTATACAAATATACAAAATTAGCCCTAATTTTGATTTGTGTGGACTATCAATCTCATACCCACCCATGCTGACTGCCTCATGGATGGGTGAAGGCTGGAATATAGCCAGGGCATGTGGTCTGGCGTCACTCTGCAAGAGCAGCTCTAGACATGCCAAACTGCCAGCTGAGCAGGCATGAAACAATGGAGTCGCACCATCTATAGTTGTCACATTTACCTGAACATAAAGAACAGCATGTTTCACGAAATCACTGAAATTCTGGGGGGAAAAAACCCTTTTACTTCACATTTTATGGTTTAAGTTATTACCAAATAATATGATATAATGATAATATATATATATAAAATTGTATAATATAATATCTATAATATAATTGTTTTTAATAATTGTATAATATATATAATTAATGATTATATATATATATATATATATATAAAAGCTATGATATTTTTAGAGAATCCATTATTGAATTAATACAATAAAATATATTTATAATTTAAACAAAATAAATAAATAAACATATATTGCATTTCAGCGTAACTGAATATATATATATATTATATAGGCAATATATTTAGCAAATTTACTAAACCCAGTAAAAGAAGCCTATAGGCCATTGCTAATCAAGACCTCTGAAATGAAAGTGTTACCAAGCAGCCCTGCAGAGACTAACGTTGGCTCCGGCATCTATCAGGGTTCTGGCACAGGCAACATGACTCCCTATGCATGCCTCGTGAAGAGGGCTAATGTGGTCTATTGTCAGCACATTCACGCTGTGGCCCTGAGGACAGATTAAGAGAAATGAATATTGCATTTGAATGTGCAGGATTCTTTTATTCCAGATGGTGGCAGCAATGCCCTTTCACCAAGGTGCATTATGGATTGCAGCGTTCACCTCTACACCAAATGTGTATTTCATTACTAATCCAGTAGAGTGCATGTGACTACATGGTATAAATACAGCACACATTAATACAAGTACATATATCTAACAGTTGAACTAAAGGTCATTTAAATGAGAAACTACCTGAGCAATGAGGGTCTTGAGGGCCAGCAGACGTCCTTGGCTGGCAGCATCATGAAGAGGGGACCGGTCTGCCCAAGACCCTGGAGAAGAATAAAAACAGTGATTTGCCAGGAAATTTAGAAATTAATTGTGTGTGTGTGTGTGTGTGTGTGTGTGTGTGTGTTTCTGTGACCACCACATGGTACACTGTAAACAAAAAAAAAAAAAAAAAATATATATATATATATATATATATATATATATATATATATTACAGGGTTAGTTCACCCAAAAATGACAATTATGTCATCATTTACTCACTCTCATGTCATTCCAAACCAGTATGACTTTCGTTCATCACAAATTAAGATCTTTTTGATAAAATCTGAGAGCTTTCTGTCCTCCATAGATAGCACAACTGACACACTTTGACATATCACAAAGTAGGCCTTCATACAGAGATTGCAAAACTAATCCATATGAATTGAGTGGTTTAGTTCACATTTTCTCAAGAGACACAATTGCTTTATATGATCAACAGATTGAATTTAGGCTTTTATTCTCACATAAATATATTGATCAGATAATGTAAATCCTGCTTGACGCGTGAGAACAAACCTCATTGGTTCTTGGTTCTCTGTGCCTTGCCTTGCCTTGCATTAAGCGAAGATCCTTGAGCTTCCGTTTACAACAACTGACGTGTGTGTTGATGAATGTTTAAATGTGAATCAAAGCCAAAAGTCAATCTGTTCATCCTATCCTAAAGAAACGGTGTCTCTTGCTTCAGACAATTTGGACTAAACAGCTCAATTCATATGGATTAGTTTTATGATCTCTTTATGAACTTCTTGAAGCGTCAAAGTGGTAGTTGCATACAGTATCTGTTAATGAAGGGATTGAAATCTCTCAGATTTCATTAAAAATGTCTTCATTTGGTTCCCAAAGATGATTGAAAGTCTTACGGATTTGGAACGACATGAGGTTGAGTCATTTTTGACAGAATTTTGGGTGAACTATCCTTTTAATATTTAATGTTAATATAGGCTACTGTCACTATGTTTCTTAAAACATGAATTTCTGTTTATTTTCAGATATAAGTGGGATTTTTCTAGATTTTCACTGCATGGATACACGTATAGCATCATCACAAAAGCTGATATGTTAGTGTGTGTACACACCTGAGTCAATATCCAGTATAACAGCTGATGCATTCCACACGTCGTCATCATCATCATCGTCACCTCCCTTCATCACTCACTCAACTATAGTATAATACTATCCGTCGGGTAAATGGACCAACTGTCTGTTGACTATTTTAATTTTCCTTCTTTTAGTCTCACATTCAAGAACAATTAATTCAAGAACACAGCTCACTTTTGCACTAAGGATATTGTAAGTCACTCCACGTACACACAAAACATCTCAAAGCACCCACCTTGGCTGGTTAACCAGCTTAGCAAGACTTCCACTTTGACGGAGCTTGTGTCCCTTCAGGAAAATGTTTTCTCCTTATATCATTTTCTTCAAAAAAATGCTTTAAAAGAGTCACTGTAGCTGTCTGTTTTTTTTTTTTTTTTTTTTTTTATCTCAGTTGCCCTACTTAAGTTGCTTAGTAAATGCCAGACTACGGAAATCCCCTGTGACTGTCCCCCCATCTCTGTTCCTCTTTCCCTGATCTTAAACTTGGAGAAGCAGTTTTCTGAGATCCTCTGTAAAGACAACTTGTTTACACCAAAAGCCCTTGCTATGGCCCTGACTGCACTATTCAAACCTTAGCAGACAAGTGTCTGGCTGCACAAATGCTTGATAAACTCATGATAACTGCTTTCTTGTGTCAAAGGGGATGGGGTGCATGGCCTCAATTCTATTTATACAGCACTGTAAACAGCAGCCTGGCAGCCATTCGGGATTTGGTTACATGCATACTTTGTGAACTTCAATGTGCTTAATGTTGCATGTTTAGGATCTGTGGTCATGTGATCGTACATAGCCTGCTGTGATGCAAAGCACACACATATGAATCCGAAGTGTGTGTTTTCTGTAATGCAGAAATGATATCTCGTGAAATGGAGTTTTTAAAAGTATATCTAAAACACCATCATGTAAACTGGTACTCCCTGTTGTGGTCCTTATTATCACATGCAATATTATGCATAAATAAATCTACACAGCAGGAAAACCATTGCGCAAAAATAATATTCCCCATGCTCCATGTCTATCCTCCTAGCAAGCAGGCCATCATTAAAGGGCAAAACGTTGGCAATAGGAAATGAAATCCACAGCAGTGATGTAAGCGTGTGCTCTACTTACCATGCCCTTGACCATTCTCATAGAACTCAGCTTAAATCCGCGCAGCCTCCTTGCGGTTGCCTCTGATGATGTAGAAGTGTGTGAGTAAATTAAGGGTTATTCTTACGAAAAGTTTGAAGCAGAAGAGGGCCAGGATGGTGAGGTAAACATTGGACAGCTGTGCTGTAAATGGCCTGTAGTCGTCAGAGGTCTCTGTCATGGCTGTTTGTTTTAAGAATGTTTTGTGGCAGGATAAGCTATGACCTGCTGTATGCCACCCCAACAGCACCCCCCATGCACTTGGGTCCTTACTGCAGCTCAAGAAAGATTTGGATATCCATTGTTTTCAAAGGAAAAGTTCTGCGAAAATGACAATTCTGTGTGGATTCACAACTGTGCTGTAATTTTTATTTCCATGGAAGACTAGGTCTCCAAAAAAGGCAACCAAGACCTTGGTCTTGGACTCTGTGATGAGAAGCACCTTGCTGGGGACAGAGGAGAGGGTCCTGACCAGTGACCAGTCTATGGTCCTGACCTGTCCTGCCCACAAATGCCCAGATAGCTCAGACAGTAATAACCATTATGAGTTGAATTTGTATAACACTGAACTTCTTTTCACTGTTTATTTCAGCCAATCAAACTGACTGAAGTGATTTGCAGTAAGAGGTCCATGAATACATTGATCATGTACACTTGACAGATTTTTAAATGCATTGTGAATGAATTGTGATGAGGCAGCTTCTAAGGATATAGTAATAATTTAATATAGGCCTACCAAAAATTTACTGTGTTAAATCTTTGATATCAATCAGTTTCAGTGACAATAGCCTAAATATATTTAGTAAAAACTCGTTATTCAATGGAATGGTATGTCCAATAGGATATTTCCCTAGGAAATGTATTTGCAAATAGGCTAGCCTGTTTAAAAAAATTATAAAAACCGACTAATTACATTCTGGATTCCTGGGTAAGGTTCATAATATAATGAAGTTACTGTTAGGAGCATAGACGGTAAAAGAGGTTAGGAGCCTACCCTAAGCAAGTTACGTTTTTACGCCATGACGCCTGTAGGATACTGACGTATCGACGACGCACGTCACATGCGCAGCCGCAGATTTGAATTTCTGGCGGGTTGTCTCGACAGTAAGAGGTTCTTGTCAGTTCGCTTTGGACAAACATTAGCGACGTTTTTAATAGTCGATCAGATTTATTCGTTCTTTGCTTATAGAGACTGATACATTTCACCATGGTCGAGGGTCCGGGATGCACTTTAAACGGAGAGAAGATTCGTGCAAGAGTTCAAAAAGGACAGAAAGTTTTAGACATACGAGGAAATGAAAGCAATAAATCAGTAAGTGACAGTTCAGCTGATGAAGTAGCAGACCTGCGTAAATGATAAACATTTGAATGTTTACTTGTTTTCTTTCTATTTCAGTCTGAGGCCAGTACCAGGAGCTCTTTCCAAAGCTTTGTGGGCTGTGAATTCACAGGGGTGGAGACACTGGGGAAAGAGCTGTTCATGCATTTTGGCTTCAGAGCTCTGAGGTTTGTAGTAAACGCGAATTAATTCATTTATGCGTTGTGTTTTAAATTATTATTTTATGTAGTGATTTGTTAGAGGCCATGGACCAAATGACAGTTTCTTTCCCGATGAAGGCAGATTGAAATTTTCTGGCTGGCTTCCCAGAGCCCTGTTTAGATTTCTGTTTAGATTTGAAAAGCACTAAAGTCATGAAATTATGTCCTGATTTATCATTACAATGCTTTGCAGACTAGGCAGCAGGGATTTGTTTTACATTATATATATATATATATATATATATATATATATATATATATATATATATATATACTGTACATATACCGTATATTCATATTTAATGTTCTCAAAAAATCATTACATGTTGGTTTGGTATACAGTTTCATTGATATTTCCAGAAAACCTGGAAATATCAATGAAATAAAAAAAAATAAAAACATTGAATTTCGCAACCTTGTAACTCATGAAAAATATATATCTATTGTCTAGTGAATAGATTTTCCTAGTCTCTGTTGTTGTGCTCTAAAATACTTCATTTTCTTTGGAAGTGCTGAATTTGCTCTCTAGCAGGTTAGTGTGATTAGCTTCAGTCTGTCCTTTCAGGGTAACTGTCTGTGTGATTGATAGTGAGGCAAATGCTTCTTGCTAATATCTCTTTCATATGGGCCTCAAAGTGGTTTACATCTAAAAATGTGTACTTGACCTACAAATGAAAATCTGTCACATATTTAATAAATGATATATGAAAATCCTTTTCCAGTAATCGCAAATGACTGGTAAGGTGATATAAATTCAATTTCATAAAAAAGTGTAATCCTTTTAAGTTCACTTTATGTGTTTTGGGTTTAGACTGCACTTTGGCATGAATGGTTCCTTGAGAATAAACCCCCTGGAGAAAGACTTGAAAGGAAAAACCTCAGTGCTGGTTATTCAACTTAACAATGATGCGGTCTGTTTCTTTGACACAACTGCAGAAATCAGGTAAAATGTCTTTTAATGGCTATGGTTATAACATTTTTATTATTAGCCTGACATTGTCATACTAATATTATAGTCAGAATGTGAATCTGAAACCTCTCCATTGGGCTGTGTGAGTTTTACCAGATTTTTTTTATGGGGTTTCAACCGAACCAGGAAAAAAAATGCCTCAGCAATCAATTGTATAGACCGAATTCCATAGGAAGGACAGCAAAAACATCTTTCTGATCAACAAATGCCTTGATAGTGGTTCTCTGTTCCTCTTTTAAAATGAATGAGCTGTATAGATCTTCTATAACAGACGCGATGGCTGAATCTACACATCTAAATTCTCCAGCGGCAGCCATTTTGTTGTAATCGCATTGAATCCAAGCGCTCTTTGGTGACGTGGATGATTACGTTACTGTTGATCATGTCCATCATCATATAAAGTCCACCTTGATCATTTTTGAATGGTCCGAGTAGCCATCCTCAAATGTTATGGGCGGGGCTAAGTTCAGCTGGCATCCAGGAGATTATATTATGGGATAAGTATAACATTTAATCCTGGATTAGCCTGCATCTTTAAAAGTCCTTGTGAATAACTTTTTTTCTAATGTACATCTGGGAGGTCAGTTTATCAAGTGCAGGTTTCAAGCAGGCAACATCCCTGTCGCAGAAATGCTGGCACAATCATAACTCAGTGTGATCCAGACAGCCCAAACTAGTCTTTTCATTTTTACACTATTCTGACTCCCCAGGAAATAGTTTTTCTGTTTGCTTCCCTTAGACTCTCAGATGACTGTAAGCAGAAAGTTAAAGCCATGGAGGCTCTCGATATCTGTTCACCAAAGTTTAGTTTCTCTCGGGTGGTGGAAGCTGTAAAGAGGGAGAGTGCGAGAATGCTCTGTGATGTTCTGTTGGATCAGGCTGTCCTACCTGGTGTAGGAAACATCATTAAAAACGAAGCACTCTTCGACAGTGGCCTGAACCCTGCTGTCAAGGTACATTTTGCTCTGTGCAGTTCCATGTTGGATGTTACAGTTGAATGGATGTTTCACACCTTATTTAAAAAAAAAAAAAATTAGGGTGTTATTTTTTTTTAATTATTTCTTCTGCACTTTTAAAGGTCAAGCAGTTGACAAGTGAACAAGTTCATCATCTTGTGAAGATGACACGAGATTTCACACTCCTATTTTATAAGGTATTTTTTCTCTCTCCATTATTCTTGACAATAAATTTGCTTTTTTTTATGTTTTTTTTGTCAGATCTGCCTTATTTTTATTTCGATTCTTTTCAAAACAGTGTAGAAAGAATGGATCCCCACTTTACAAGCATTACAAGGTGTATAAACGTCCTAACTGTGGCCAGTGTAGCGGAACGGTCACCGTATGTCGACTGGGAGACAACGGTAGAATGACATACTACTGTCAGCACTGTCAAACAGGTGATCCAAGTGAAGTGAACATCAGGTTAGCTGCACCCTCCTCTCATGGCTACTAGGGGAGTAACAATACACTTGTGTCATGATTTATTCAATTCGATACATGATATACTGATCTCATAATAGATTGCAAAGCCAAAATAGAGTTAAAAAACGTTTTTTATTACTTGTACCACATAGTTAACAGATAACACTGAAGGCACTGCTTATTAAAATGAACAAGTCAGGGGTGGACTTGGTCTGTCGTACCATTCACAGGGTAATGATGACACCACAATAGACATGTTCTGTTCATGATTCTGCTTAGCTAAAAATACTGAATTATGTCATAAACAAATGCCTTTCCCTGACTACATGCATTTAAAGTTTTAAATATGTATTTCAGTAAGTAATGAATTTTATTTTTTATGTAATAATTATAAAACATTGAAGCTCAAATGGGACGCCCTCTGAGTTTATCATATTTGATGCACCATTACCATATCTCAGGGGTGGGTTTTATATACGATTTTATATTGTGATCAATCTACTTTTCAAGCGAATCATAGAGATATTTTATGTCCTTGTAATAAAATACAGCAATGACTAGTGCCTAATAGATGGCTGTGCTGACTGGCCAAATTATATCATGCATCTTCATGCAAGGTGACGCATTTGAAAAACGC